TGGCTCCCAGCACAGCAACTTGCATGCTATACGGGTGTGTAAATGCAGTTTTCAGCCACCACGGGGGGCCCTTGAAGATACACTGAGCCGTAGAGTTATGATGTATAAGCTTTTCTGTGTGCTTATCACACACACCAAGTAAGACATATTTGTTCAGAAAAAGCCACACAGAATAATCCTTTCTTATAAATTTCCCACATTTCATTCCTAAAAGAACCAACTGTGCAGTGACTTAAATGTAGCTGGATTCCTTCTGTGGACGGATGCATGGAGTGAAGTACCTGTCAGGGAACAGGATGGGGTGGCTGAGTCACCTGGAGCTGCAGGCTGGAGAGACGCTGTGGGATCCCATTGCTCTGGTAGGAGCACTGCTTGTCCCCGTAAGTCAGGGACTGCTTCTCTAGACTGTTTTCTGGATGTGCACAGAATAGAATTTCRGTTTGTTCCCGCAGCTTAACCTCACAAAAACTGCTGGTGCACTCAGGTGCTGGGTGTTCAGAGCTTGCTCCTCCACCCAAGGTGCAATCCTTCAAGGATCCAAGCTATCTTTCGGGGCCACGGTCCCATTCCTTGTCTTGGTTGAACCCCAAGCTTGTTCCTGCAATGGCAATGAGCTCAGTCAGTGCTCACGTGTGCAGCTCTGCTTTGCAGGCATTTCTCAGCCATGGCTGCAGGGTCCACCCAAATGCCAAAGGGAGAGATGTCATCACTTCTAGCTGCAGCAGGGGCAGTCCATAGGCAAGTGTCCACTTCCTCTGCTGCACCTGGGTCACCATGCAGGAGGCCTCCTGCTCTGTGTGCAGCCACGAATGGGAAGTAGGCCAGAGCCTGAGCTGCAGCACAAGGAGACCCCCAGCAGGACAAGGAGACCCCCAGCAGGACAAGGAGACCCCCAGCAGGACAAGGAGACCCCCAGCAGGACAAGGAGTGCCCCCAGCAGGACAAGGAGACCCCCAGCAGGACAAGGAGACCCCCAGCAGGGCAAGGAGAGACGGAACACCCCGGGGGACTGAAGAGCAAGCCCATCCTGTTCAGCCTGTAGGTTCTGGGATTGTTCTTCTGTTGCAGCAAAACCAGAAGGGAATGACTGTGGCCCATTCTGGCCCCCAGAGGACCATGGAGAGCCACGTGGTGAAGGCAGGTTGCATTAACTCCTACCAAGAGTGGAGAAGTACCTGGAGCAACCAAATGCCCTACCCAAGGACAACTTCAGAAAACTCGGTGGCCAGAAGGAACAGGCATCTCTGCAAATTGTGTCCCACTTCTTCTCTGTGTGGCTTCCAGAGTCTGAGTTTGCTTTTGTGTGTCCTGAGGCCTGTCACGTAGAGGCACTGACTTTCAAATGGCCTGAGCTGATGGTGCCAAGGGGAAATGTTCAAAGCAAATAAACATATTTTATAGGAATATATAWTTTTTTWWAAAAAGCTTATTTATTATTTATTTGCTTTGTACTAGGCATTGAAACCATGGGTGCTTTACCACTGAGCTATGCCCCAAGTCCTTTTTAAAAAAATTTTTTTTAAATTTTGAGACAGAGTCTTTCCAAATTGCTAAGTTGCCCAGACTGGCCTTGAACTTGCAATCGATCCTCTTGCCTCTTGATCCCAAGTTACTGGGACTATAGGTATGGCCACCACTCCTGACTGTAGACATGTTCTCTTAAGTCAGGGCTCAAAAAATCCTCACAGATACATTCTGGCTAAACAGAAATCTAAAGGGCAAAATTTAAAAGACAAAACCAAAAATTATAAATAAGACACAAGAACAGGATTGAGCACAGAAGAGAAAGCACAATTAGGCTCCAAGGAGTTGGGGCATGAGAATCTGAGGATATGCAGAGGCACATTCAAAGTATGTGAATAAGTGGGAGAGGTAACCGGAAAAGTTAGGTGAGAAGGAGGAACTTCAAATAGACCWGGCACAGTGGAAGAGAGGCCCCTGTTAGATTTCAAAAACAACAGCGAATTGGAGGGTGCACAGCTGGAGAAATACCAGTAAATTGGCACAGATAAAGACATGAGCAGGGGGCTGGGGATGTGGCTCAAGCGGTAGCGCGCTCGCCTGGCATGCGTGCGGCCCAGGTTCGATCCTCAGCATCACATACAAACAAAGATGTTGTGTCCGCCAAAAACTAAAAATAAATATTAAAATTCTCTCTCTCTCTCTCAAAAAAAAAAAGAGAGAGAGATGAGCAGTGTAGCAAGGGATTAAGAGGCTCGGAGAAGAGAGTGACATGTCTGTCAGAGTCAGGAGAAGAGAGTATCGGAAAAGGGGAACTCAATATGCAGAGACAAGAACTGAAAAGTTTCCAGAATTGATGAAAAATATCCTCGCTTCAGAAGCTTAAAAAGGTGCAGGGGGGGATAGAAAGTGAAAATCATCATAAATTTTGAAGTGAAATTATAAAACACAAGTGAATAAAGAGAAGATATTAAAAACACAAAAGTCAAGGCTAGGGTTGTGGCTCAGCTGTAGAGCACTTGCTTAGCACATGTGAGGCCCTAGATTCGATCCTCAACACCACATAAAAATAAATAAAGTAAATAAATTTATGTGCTGTTTTGAAGAGTTTGTTGGATGTAGGAAGTATACAAAAGACATAAAGTGCAAATACAATGCAAGAAATAATGATGTGTCTAGGAAAAAACAGACAAATTACCTGTTGTAGGAAAAACCAGAACAAAACATTGATCATAATGTAACTACATGAAGTGAAACCTGAAAGCCCCAATCCACCCTCGCGCACCATTTAAGAGCATATGTGGGCCACAAATGTGGAAGACAGTGACTGGTGGACAGCACATCTGGTTATGTGGGATGGTGGTTGGGTGGAGACTGTGAGTGGGGAATATAAAAGTGATTTGCAAGGCTTTCCATAAGTTTCAAAGTTTTTAAGCTGGTCCGTGAGTTCATCATTCCATGAGTTGCTATCATTCCATCGTATGTGTTCCTTGTTGGAATAGTTCATAATAATAAAATGCTTTCCCTCAAGTCACATTACATGTAGCTTTTCATGCAGCATGGCATCCAACGCAGCAGGCAACATGAGAATCTTAGCGTGTACCTGAGAAAGGAAGGCAATGTTGGCGGGCAACACAACAGCCCAAGGAAGCACCCTCTTAGGTCAGCTGAGAGAGTCCTTGGGTTCAGTAGGACACTCACGGAAGCAAGTTTCCCATGCTCAATTTTGTCCTCTGAAAAAATGTGTGAATGGTATAATTTTCCTTGCAAAGGAATCCCTTGTTTGGGTGGAGAGAATATAGGTGGAGTACAGAATAGATGTTTAATGATCTGCACTAACATCTTTCTGAAATGAGGCAGAGGGCAGCCAGTGAGGCAGAAATGAGATGGCACTTACTTCCAAACACCTGCAGCCAAAGGCGTTCCTGCCTCATCTTTGTGTACACTTTTCTCACAGCACTTGTTGGTTCCGAACCCAAATCTCATGTCTCCAGGAATGCTGTGCCCTGCGAGTCTCTGTGGGACCCATTCTCTCCAGCCCTGTGTCAAGCACACAATGGATACTTGTTCTGTTTGGAGAACACTGGAAACACCCCCTTTTTGAAAGGAAACCTAGATAAATCATATAAACACTGTACCTAGTGAATCAATCTTAGCTTTCTCCTTGGGAGCTACCAAGAGTACAAAGAAGAATCATGCTAGCTACCCCTCCCGTCCTTAAACAGCTCAATTTCTCCTTGGTGTCGGCACATTTCACAGCAGTGGTTCCATACTAAACACCATAGGTCACTTCACAAACACTGCACCTGTCAATACTTCTATATATGTCACTCAAATGGGCACTGTAAAGTGTACACAGCACACCCTCTCCTTTTTAATTTTTTAAAATTTGTTCTAATTAGTTACACATGACAGTAGAATGCATTTTGACACACTATAAATAAATGGGGTATAACTTCTCCTTCTTCTGATTGTCCACGATGTGGAAACACGCCGGTGGTGGAGTCGAATATACACATAGACTCCGCTCTAATCTCATACTCGTTGATGAAGATCTCAGGCCATTCGTGTTTTACAAAATTTCACGTAGCGGTGGCAAATCTCGATTTTCTGGGGTGCATTCTCGGGGCGCAAGCGCTCTCCTCACAGAGAAAGGAGTGGTACTGACCCTCCGCCCGCGCAGCCCACGCCTCCTGTCTGCGCGCACACGAGCGCGCTCTGCTGCCCTCCCTGGCCGCGCAGCATCCCGAGCCGCCGCCTTCGCGTTCTCCAGGCGGGTCAGCCCCTTGCCGGACTGTGGAGGTGGGCGGTGATCCATCCCGTGAGGATCCTCCAGTTTCTGCCGAGCACCGTGACTTCTGGGGGGACGCGGGAGAGACACAGGGCACGCAGACTTCAACTGGGTTGACCTTCACTCCCTTTCAGGGCAGCAGAGCCCGGAGCACCCGACTCTGCCCACCACCGGGAGGAACCTAGAGAGCGCTCGCCCCGGTGGACAACTCGCCAGGCAGACACTGGGAGTGAGTCGGAAGAGCCAGCGCCTTGGAGAGGTGGCATGGAGCGCCTGGGTGCGCCAGGAGCCCTCACCCCTAACAGCTAAGTGCAGCGCGGCGGGAGGGAGAGGCTCAGAGCAACAGGTAGGGTCGGGAACCACTCCAGGGGCAAAGGAGCGCAGCCAGCAGGTACCCAGAGCCCTTAAGGCGCAGAGAGGGCTCTCTCCACTTGCAGACGGCAGCAGGCGCGTTCCCTCCTCTCCAGCTTGCGGTCGGTCGGTCGGAGGCACCCAGGAGTCTGGGGGACCTCTGGGATCTCAACCATCTCCGGTTGGGGTCCGCGCCTCCTGTCCGCAAGACCCGGCACAAAGGCACGCCACGCACTGCTAGCGATCCAAGCGTCCCGAGTCCTGTTCATCCAGGGAGGATCCCTAGGAAAGTCGAGCGAGCGCTCAGTGCTCTAGGCTGGAATCCCCGGCGACTCCCAGCGCCTGCTTTCCCAGGCAAGCACTCCTTTTTGTGCGCCCCGCCACCCTGCTCTCCAGCGGGTAATGGAGTTGGCGACTGCGAACTTCAGTGAGGGGAACGCGAGCGGGCCCGAACCTCCCACCGCGGAGGCACCGCCGCTCTTCGGCATCGGCGTGGAGAACTTCGTCACGCTGGTGGTGTTCAGCCTGATCTTCGCGCTGGGCGTGCTGGGCAACAGCCTGGTGATCACAGTGCTGGCGCGGAGCAAGCCCGGCAAGCCGCGCAGCACCACCAACCTGTTCATCCTCAACCTGAGCATCGCCGACCTGGCCTACCTGCTCTTCTGTATTCCTTTCCAGGCCACCGTGTACGTGCTGCCCACCTGGGTGCTGGGCGCCTTCATCTGCAAGTTCACCCACTACTTCTTCACGGTGTCCATGTTGGTCAGCATCTTCACTCTGGCCGCGATGTCGGTGGACCGCTACGTGGCCATTGTGCACTCTCGGCGCTCCTCCTCCCTGAGGGTGTCCCGCAATGCGCTGCTGGGCGTGGGCTTCATCTGGACACTGTCGATTGCCATGGCCTCACCTGTGGCCTACCACCAGGGCCTCTTCCGGGACGTCAGCAATCAGACCTTCTGCTGGGAAGAGTGGACCAACAAGAGCCACAAGAAGGCCTACGTGGTGTGCACCTTCGTCTTTGGCTACTTGTTGCCGCTGCTGCTGATCTGCTTCTGCTACGCCAAGGTGGGAGCGGCGACTTGGAGGGAGAGGATGGATGGAGGGGCAGTGGGGCCCTGTAGCTCCTCTGGTCTCCGCACCCTGGCTGAGCCTCTCTGCATCCCCGCCCCCTGCCCTCTCCCGGGTCGGGTGCTGATGTATGGGGGGGGGGATTTCCCCACTCCAGTTTGCCTTCTCCTCTGCAGGCTCCCGCACAACCGGCAAGAAAGTCAGGTGGAGTCTGGGGGCTGGGAGGTTTGCTCTCTAGACTTTGGGTAGAACGGCTTTGTCCACCCTTGGCTTCTTGGGCACTATGGCCTGTAAAGCCCACTGTGGCCGGAGCGCGCTTCCACTTCTGCTGTTCAAAGACCCCGGGTGTTGCAGCAACTCAAACAAAACCCGCCAGCGCGAGGCAGTAATTGGGCACTGTGGTGGGACCCACCGCGAGAGCGCGGTGCCTGTGAGCGCAGGCTAGTTGCGCGGATGGGGTCGCAGTCACCCTCTGGTAGTTTTCACCTGGGACSGGCTGGGAGACTCACGGCTGGGCACTCTTCTCCCGGCGCGMGCCCTYGCCCTCGCCCTCGCCAGCCAAAGCTTGGTGGAGACCAGGCTCTCTGAGGCCGCTGCTCTTAGGGACAGCGCTTCGGATTTTGCTTTACACAGAAGTTTAGCTTTACAAACCCCAGGGGTGGAAGGGGCGGGAGTGCTGCTTCCCCATGTCCATCAGGTTTTAGAAAGGTGTGGACAGTGCTGAGGGCTTCAGGTGGTCCTCTAAAGTCCCCATGCTGGAGAGGAGCAGCGAGGACTGGCTGCTGGCTCGGTTTCTGCCTCTCTTCCCATGGGGGGGGGGGTAATACTTATCCTGCCTTACAGATCCCACAGAGATCCACGCTCCCCTCCTCCATCATGAATTACCCAGGGTGAAGAGTTGACATGGATCAAAAAGTCTGAAACTTCTGTGGCACAACCTGTTTATGTTTGAGTAACCAAGAGTTTGTGTAATAGTCGTCTGACAGCAGTACTTAGGGTGAACTCCCGGGTCCCCAGTATCTTCCCGGCTAAGTGCCATCATCATCAGAAAAAAACCCTTGGGAAGCAAATTCTGAAGTTCCCAACTAACTCATCTCTCCCAGCCTCTCTGACTCTGATAAATAAGGCTGGCTAYAGGACCATAAGTAACCATGGAAGATAGAACAATAGCCGCTTTTAATATTCAATCATAAGGTATCTTCCCCAGGAAACATGTTTAATATGAGTCATCGGAATCCCCCATTTGAACCATCTATGTAGATTATGTCTACTTTGAATGATAATATTTTTGGATATTATTTGAAAAAATAACTTGCACCAAAAGGCATACATAAGGAAAAACAGTCGAGGTAGGTATTTGGAAACTAACTGGAGCTTAGCTATTAGCTATTTGCTATTTTATTTATTTAGTTTTCTGAAAAAACAAAACAAAACAAAACAAAACAAACAAACAAAAACAAAAACAAAAACAAAAACATCTGTGAACAGCACAGCTATCTGAAATGTGCATTATCTCATTTAATTTACACCTCTATGGAGGAGCTATCATCCCTATTTTATTAAGGCAAAGGAGTGTTGGAAATGTGAAGCAAGCTTCTTTGATACAACTTGTTTCTGTTTGAGTAACTAAGTCAAGTATAGAYTTAATAGTCCCATGATAGCAGTAATGGGGGGTGAACCCTAGAATGCTCTGCGTCCTCCCCTCAGAGTACCATCACCATTAGACAAGCCACTTAGATACAAAAATCTGGCATTCAGAAAGACTTTTTAGGAAGGGATGATAGGTGGTTGCTGGAGGACATAAAGCTTGGGCCAAAGGGATTCTTAAAATATCTGGCTCTTAATTTCCCAATTCCCTGTATTTGAACTGAAGACATGCTTTCTTCAATTCCCGAAAGTCTTTAGAAAAATCACTTATTATTTTCATAGAAATGAATGATAAGGTAATTTTTGGGACTAAATTGGACTATCATTTTAGAATTTATAAAGGTCATACTAAAAACAAAGATTTAAAATTTAATTGAAAAAAAGAAAAACAATAATGAGATGCATGATCATTTGGATATTTTTTTATATGGAAATAGTTTGCGTCCAAGAATAAATAAAAATATCTTTTACATCCAAGATAATATTTGCAAATTCACTTTAGGAGCTAAATAGCTGGAGATCAATTATTTTGGGCTGCCTTTCCTTGATTTAGGCCCTAAGTGTGTACTAGCCAATGAGAATTTTGGTGCTTGAGTGTTCAGATCAGGATGGCTGTTTGCTGGAGGAGCAGGTCTGATGCCCACACATCGGCCAGAAGGGCACCTGGGTTACAGTGTGTGTGTGTGTGTGTGTGTGTGTGTGTGTGTCTAACGTAGTGACAGAAATGGATTCCGGAATCACCTTTGGTACGTGCTTTGTGGAGCAGCTCTTTGCCTGAGAGTCCTGGGAAGGGCACAGGGTGTGGACTGGAGAGGGATCTCGGTGGTGGGCCCTTTGTCCCCTTGGGTTGCTTTGTTCCTGCTGCTGTAGACCCATCGCCCCCTAAACGTGCTTCACTGAGCATGAATCGCTGTCTGGAGCCCTCCCTGGGTTCTCCACATCCCAGGGTGTGCCCAGTGTGACTCTGGCTGGTATTTGGGTGGGCACCTTCCCTCACACTGGGCAATGCATGTGGAGAAATGGCACCACGCCAGCATTATCTTCCAGGGAATGCAACCATCGCCACTTCCTTTCTTTCTCTTTTGATGCAAGTCTTGGTGAGGGTGCATCACAATGTGTCATGTGCACTCACAGCATGAGCTATTGAGGAGAAACAGCTACACAGTATATTCGAGACTCTTCTCCTTTGAACATTCAACGGCATCTGGCATTCGGTGTTAGGTGTGTTGAAGTTGCTCAGCGATGACTCGTCCTTGGTTGTTGATGGTGTGCATGGACCCTCACTAGACTGGTGAAGTTTGCTGCTTGTGTGGGTGTGCCCCTCTGATTTCAGGTGGGTGGCTTCTGTTCTGGTTGCTCCTGTGTCCCTTGCCCTCAGTGCCCTTTGTTGCCCTGTGGGCTCATGTGGCTAGGCTGCTGTTGACCTGCTGGCCAGGACTGTCCTCTGGGGCAGGCTCCTGCCTTAGCCCTCTCCTTCCTCCTGGAGACTTTCTTCTTTGATGCTGTAGTGAAGGCTCCCTTCTGTTTTCACTTTTATCTAGCTTGTGGACCCATTTCCATTGGCAGGACAGTTACCTGTTGTCAATGTACTGCATTTATCCCTAATGCCCCTGACAGTGGGGCTTGTTTTGCTATCAAGGATTCTGAGCCAGCTCAGGAGGAGAGAAGTGTTTTAGCATCATGGAGAATGTGAAACCAAAAATGCACACCCCAGTGACGGCTGCTCAAGCTGAGCAGGGTTTGGAAGGTTGGTTGGCAGATCCTGTGGTTTCCCAAAGAGGACCTGGCTGATGGCAGTAAGTGCTCCTTGTAGCTAGGGAGCAGGGTCTGCAGGAAGCCCACTTCTTTATATTATTTCCATGCTGCGGTGCTAGAGGGAGACAGAACAGTGGCAGGAAGCTGCTTTTACCTCTCGAGAGACATGTCAGCAACCCACAGTCAGTCTAAAGCCCTTAGTCATCCAGACAACGCTTGCTGCAGGTTGTCCCCAGGAGGAGACTGAAAAATGAACTCCAGCATCAGTTCTGCAGGGTTGGCTCTGTTGGTCAAGTTCAGTTTGGAAATTCCTATACATAACCAAAGCTTTTCCCGTCTTCTGAATATTACACTGGCAAGAGAAGACACAAATGGTTTTTGAATTTAATGAAGCCAGTGTGTCTCCAGGGTGCTCCCCGACAGGGACATCCATYGCAAAGCCCTGCACAATGTGCGTCCACCATCAGTGATACTGGGTTCTCGAGATGAAGTTGTCTAAAAGCACACAGCCAAYGAAAGGAGGCCTGGTGGGCAGGGTTTTGCTTTGAGGTTTGCAGTGGAAAGAGGTCTTCACGGGAAAACAGAATAAATAAGCTGAAGTGAATGCCAGTGTGATCAGGTGTGGCCACATTGAAGAGACAGCTGGTCACATCACCTGCTTGTCCACATTGGCTGATGACCTCCCACATGTGCATCTCTAGGTTTCAGTGTATTTATGACCCAATATTGCGCCCAACATACAGCAGGGCCCAGGTGATGGTTGACAYGTGGACCAGGAAACCGAGGCAGACGATAGACCAATAGCATGCACGAGTGGGCCCTGGGGTGGCTCTTTCTGGAGGGAATTTCAGGTCTGTTTGCACAAAGACTCTGTGGGTACAAACCGTGCCTGGGCGCACCAGTCTTCCCAGACAGTCCTTCCTACATGCTGGAGAAACAGGTGCACTGTGCAATTCAGACTCGCTATTTTGCTGCCCAACATGTATTTCTGTTTTAACAATTTTATGAGCAATGGTACTGCCATTTTGCAATGTCAGTAATCGTTAGTACTAGGCAGGCAACGTGTTTTGAATGTGGAGCAAACTGAGTTCACTGGTCTGTGTTTTGCAGGTCCTTACTCATTTGCATAAAAAGCTGAAGAACATGTCAAAGAAGTCAGAAACGTCCAAGAAAAAGGTAACACAACAAATACTGCAACTTTCACTTGTGCAAGCTTTGTTCACTTTGGTTTTTAATTATACTTACACTCTCCCCAAACCTGGTGAGTGCTGGCCCCTTGGAACAGACACTGGCATGAGCTCTTACTGTGAAGGTGGCTTGAAGGTCAGGCTGGTGGGGGCACCATCACGCCCAAACTTACAGGGCGTCGGGGAGGTATGCTTCTGCGTCTTTCCGTGCTGTGACCACAACACCTCATCTGGACGACTTACAGAGATCCTTCTTTTTTTTTTTTTTTTTTTTTTTTTATTGTTGGTCGTTCAAAACATTACATAGTTCTTAATACATCATATTTCACAATTTGATTCAAGTGGGTTATGAACTCCCAATTATACCCCATATACAGATTGCTGAATCACATCAGTTACCCTTCCATTGATTGACAAATTGCCTTTCTAGTGTCTGATGTATTCTGCTGTCTGTCCTATTCTCTACTATCCCCCCTCCCCTCCCCTCCCCTCCCCTTTTCTCTCTCTACCCCTTCTACTGTAAATCATTTCTTCGATTTGTATTATCTTGTCTTACCCCTCCTTTCCTCTTATATGTCTATTCCCTAAAGACCTAATAAGAGCATGCTACAGGGACACTGCTACATCGATGTTCATAGCAGCACAATTCACGATAGCAAGATTGTGGAATCAGCCTACAGAGATCCTTCTGACTCACAATTTCAGAGGCTTCAGTCTGTGGGTATCGGGCTCCATTGCTCAGGGCCCGAGGTGAGGAAGTAGATCATGGAGGAAGGAAGTTGCTCCGCACATGGCGGCCAGAAGCAGGGTGGGGGTGGGTGCAGGAACCAGAAGCTCCTTCCAGGGCATGCCCCCAGTGACCTACCTCCTCCAACCATGTCCCCCACATTCCCAGCACCTCCCAGAGGTCCACTCAGCTATTAACTCACGATCCCATCACTTCCCTCCTCTGCACACGGCTGTGCCCGCGTCCAACCTTCAACAGGCCCGCCTCTGGTGGCCGTTCCATATCCAAACCATGGCAGGAGGCAGGGGTCCCCTGACCTGGTGAGTGCACGGGGGCTGATGAGCGTTTGCGAGGAAGTGGAGTGTTTTATTCTGTCTACCTTCCCGGTGCTTCTCGTTTGGGAGAGTGCTGATGTAAGTGCCCGAGAGCCCAAGAGCTCCTTCCTGGCCTTCTCTTCCCTACCCCTGTGCTGGTGCTGGCTCAGAGCTGAAGGCTGGGGACCATGCCACTCCCCACATCCTCCCCTCCCCAGACCCATCAGTCTAAGAGCCTTCACCGAGGACACTGAAGCTCCAGCTTCCATGATGTTTGCATGTTGAGGGAAAACCATGTGACACACCAGGTTGATGTAACTCTTACTCAGATAACATCTGCGCAATTGTGACTTTGGACAGTGGACTGAGATTATTAGGCAATCTGATTAGGGACAATTTATACAGGCATTCTAACCCACAACTCTTAGTAGTGATATCTTAAAATGCTTTGCTTTTAAAAAAATATTTATTAAGTTATATATATTTTTTAGATAATCATATTTTCTCTAAGAAGATCTACTAACTTATAGGAAGACTTCTTCCTGATTTCCCGGTTCACGTACAGCCATGTGGCTAAAACCCCCCGTTCCTAGAGCTGACAACTAATGGCATAAAATTGGTTAAAAAGTACAAAACATTGAGACATTTTTTGGGAAGCAAAACCAGCTTGCATTAGAAATGCCACCACGCCTTTTCTCAGCTAAGTGCCTAAGAATAAAAGTCAACATACGTAACAGGACATCTCATGGCTTCTTCTCATTCATTCTTCTTTCTATTTAAACAGGGGAATACGTGGGCTTAATTCTAAACCTCTAGGCCCCTCTTTAAGATCTGACAAGTTCTTATAAAGTTATAAGTGTTATATGGTGTTAAGTTACATGAATAAAATAAACTAAAAAATGGTCTCCTCCTCCTCCTCCTCCTCCTCCTCCTCCTCCTCCTTCTTCTTCTTCTTTCTCTTTCTCTCTTTCTCTCTCTCTCTCTCTCTCTCTCTCTCTCTCTCTTTTGAGGAAGAAAAGTTTATTGGTGCTTATGTTTCAGAGCTCCTAGTCCATCAATGGTCAATGTCATTCCTTGGGGGCTTGAGGTGAGGCAGACCACCCTGGCACGGGTGTGTGGGGTGTGGTGGAGGGAAGCAGCTGGGGGTATGGCCCCCGGGAGCAGAGAGACTCCCCTCACCACTGACAAATATTTTCCCCAAAGGCACGCCCCGAACAACCCGCCTCTTCTAACCACCCTACCTGCGCACAGTTACCACCCAGTTAACCCCTATCAGTGGATTAATGCACTGATCAGATTAAGGCTTTTATAACCCAATCGTTTCACCTCTAAACTTTCTTTCATTGTCTCACACACGAGCTTTTTGGGGACACTCAATATCAAAACCATAGCACCCCCTAACGCAGCTCCATCCCATTCATCCTTCCCTGTTTTWAATGATATACTGTGTTATGTTGGGGTTTTTACATTTTTCCAGTCTTTTAGTTTCCTCTGAACTCCATTTCTCATCTCCCAAGAAAACAGTTCTTTAAAAATATGAAAGATGGTTTATAACTTCCCCTTGGATAGTCATCTATAGCTGACCACCTGCTGGAGGACCGGACCTTGGAAGCCGAATTGGAGTGCCAGAGAACAGACATGTCAGCCCAAGGTCTTGCTCAATGTGATGAGCATTTCAAGATCCTGGGTGGGAGGGATGTTAATTTCCTTCAGGAGGGAGGGGCTCATCAGACTTTAATAGAGAGGACAACATATGCTAAATGTTTATTATTGATTCAAAAATTTTATGGTTACTAGAATGAAATAAGACATTTCCTTAGTAGTCTATAGATTTTATTAGTGTCTGAGGTTAGTTTTATTCTGTGTATTTGAAAAGGTGTTGGAGAAAAGCTCTAAGGGTTGCAGAGCAAAGTGCTTAAAAGAAAGAAAAAAATATAAGAAATGACTAGAAGCCTTCTGTGCTATTTTATGATAAAAACAGAAAGATGAATGGTTAGTTTAACAATTATTTTATATAAATGTATATATACACACACCTATGTATGTGTGTATATATTTATATATATACATAAATACGTGTTTATATATACTATATATAAATATGTATATATATATATAAATAAATACATATTTATATATAGTTTTCTTTTGTTCATTTTTACCGTATAAGAATGAAGGGGAGAAAATTCATCTTCTTTCTCCCAGCCTCTGACCCCTTGCAGCCTCTGAACAGATGTCAGATCTCTTCTGATCTATTTAATTGACTTTTGTTTGCATAGAACAAATAGATGTGGTGGAGGAGGGGTGAGGGTGTCTGAGAAAGAGATAGGAGAGGTGCAGGGGAGGGGGTGTGGGGAGGGGGTGGGAGGAAGAAGAGAGGAAGGGCAGAGAAGAGAAGAGGTGCAGAGAGGGGAGACAGAGGAGGGAGAAGAGAGACCAGAGATAGGACAGGCCAGTCCCCTGGCTGTGGACAGCTGACCCACGGTGGTGTTTTCCTGGGCCTCAGTGCAAAGCACTGCTACAGTGCTCCACATTTCGGGGAGAATGGATAGAAGTGGTGCAGGCAGATGGAGATGGATGGAGGTGATGCAGTCGGGTGGGGAGCGGACCAATGGCCACAGGTTCTGAGACATGTGGACCAAAAGATAAAGATTTGATATTTCACTCTTTTCAACTCCTTTCTTTCCAGGCCTTCTCAGTGGCTGAGTAAAATTCCCTTTCTCTGGGCTCTGTCTGTTTTTCTTATTTGGTTGAGGATGACACAACAAAATACCACACCCTGGGGGCTTACAGACAACAGTCATTTATTTCTTTCGTTTCTGGAGGCAGCAAGTCCAAGGTCAAGTGCCATCAGCTCTGGCCTCCGGTGAGGGCCTGTTTCCTGTTCATAGATGGTGCTTTCTCTGCCCACTCCCAGGGTGGAGCAGCTCTGGGCTGTGTTGAAAGGGCACTAATCCCACTTAGCAGGGCTGCACTCCATGACCCAGTGGCCTCCCTAAGGCCCTGCCTGCTGATACCTCCTCCTAAGGTGACCAGGGTCCAGCATGAGTCTCAGAGGGGAGGGCACAAGTGTTCAGACCATCTCTATGTTCACAGGTTTGCGAGTAGGATTTGATCATTATTTTGAAGCAAGAAAGACATGCGAAGCAGTTATTCTCCATACAAGAGGAAAATACAAGAGAAGATGTGGCTCTCTTGCAGAAGCAGTAGTGTAGAGCCTGTAATTRATGAAATACTTGTTTAAGGTCGGTTAGACGTGAAGATGACTTTCTGGCACGAGAGTGACTGGGTTCTAGAATAAATCCTTAAGCAGTGCTTCAGAGCGGGGTGCAAGTGTGCCGGGTGGTGCCCCAGGTTGAGGTTGGGCACAGGCGCCTCAGGTCCCTCCAAAGGCTTTCTTTTCCGTTTTTCCGATTTGAAGTGTTCCTGCAGGGTTGGCCTCTTTATGCGACGGAGGCGATGCTTCTCATGTTTTAGTTATGTGCTCCCCAGTCRAGTTCCGGGAGGCGCAGTGTGCGTGAGGCTGCTGGAAGAAGGACAGATGTCTCAGGTGACTYGAAAAGAGGGCCCCGTAGTCACCAGAGAACAGCTCTTCTCCTCTTAGCTTAAGGAACCAAAGGAAGCCATACAATGACCCAATTTCAAGGATGGTGAGATGAGTACAGAAACTGGGTACAACTTCCATGACTTTTCTGTCAGAATCTCGGGACTCTGTTCTCTAAATTGGCCAGTTAGGTCAGTGGCACGGACATTGGGCATGACTCTGTCCCTGGGAGAGGCAAAATGATTCTGTAAGAAAACCTACCATGTTAGAAAAGGGAAACRGTCCGTCTTCTTTTCCACCAGGGGAGCTTCGCTCTGCTCTGACATGCCCATGCAGGGGAGTCTCCCCCTGGTGTTTCAGAGGGAAAGAAGGGAAGCAGCTCTTCTTGCTTGTTCTGAGAAGGAGGCTGCTCCGGCCTCGGGGCCGCGGGTGTTCAGTGAAACGTCTTGGGTTGTCTTTGACTTGAGATGGGTGAGATAATTCACTTTTATTGTGATTCATCAAGCTCCTGGCGGAGCTTATTAAAAAGACCGGTTCCCAGGTCACTGTCCACTAACCACTACTGACCGAATCAGCCATGGAGACCCGGTCGAGACGTCTGAATTTCCAAGGCCCTTGGGCTGCGTCCTGATGGCATGCTGATCTACTGAAGTCCCAGGGCTGGCTTTAGCACACAGGCATTATTCTGCCTAGATCTTTACTTTTGAGCTAGTGCATTCCAGACACTCAGTTTTCGGAGTTTGACATATTGGAAGAAGCTGTGAATCGAGAAAGGTGGTTTCCTACCAGTGTGGGACTTCTTCCTGCCCCATGTCCTGTCCTTCAGGTCTACCAGCACCCGCTCAAGGGAGAAAGAGCACCCAAACCATCTRCTGTCCCCAGCCACACTGAGGTGGAGTCAGCCCGAGCTCTGGAGGAGCAGGCACACGGGGCCTGTGTGCAGGGTGACRTGTGACTGCCAGGGAACACCAGCCCAGCAGCAGTCAGGCGCTGAAGAGCCTCCACTGAGAGCAGTTAGTGGGACACGTACACCATCACAGGCTTTTAGGAGCCTTAGATAAATGATCGTTTATGCAAATACCTCTTTGGTATGCTTTCCAATATTTATATTGCAGGTCATAATCCAGTCACATTTCAAAACTACCGTTAACCAAGGAAAAAGTGGCTTTCTTTCATGTTCATGAGAAAACTAGTGGAATTACTAAAAATCTAAAGGCAAAATTTTTATGAACTTGCAAACAAGGAAACAAACAGTGTCRTAAAAAATATTCCGTACTCAGGACACACTGTCATCTGCCCTATGGATCTTGATAAGATATGGATCTTAATAAGGTGCTGGGATCTGTTTCTGCCCTAAGCTTTGCTCTTAGTAAACATTTCTGAAAAGAAGCAATGAAACGGATAGAGTATCGATAAGGGCTGTTATTTTTCGAAGTGAAGAGAGAGTCTGATTGTCTTTGRGAAGAAAAGGGGATGTTTTCCGATCAATTTGTGGCTATAATCATATCTGGATTGTTTGGTTAAATCATCTGAGAATGGCGTTTCTCTTTCTCTAATGGATAAATGGACTGACAGCAAACACCCCTTATATAGGTGAGCAAACCTTCCATTTGCTTTGTGTGCCATACGGTAAGTGCCTTTAACAAGCCAGCTTCCACCCGTAACACCTGTCCGCARCTTTTTATAGTTGAGTTGTTTTACTGCTTAAATGGTCTAGGCACAGTTAAGAACCGTTTCCTTGGTTCATCACCTTCACAAATGAGTAAGTTGAGGCTCAGGGAGGAGGTAGAGATAGAGATGTAATAGGTATGTGTGATAATATATGTGTGTGTGTAAATCATATATATATATCTCACATGGGGGATTGAACCCAGGGCCACTCTACCACTGAACTAATTTACAGTCTGTATAAGGCAGCCAGGCAGGGGTCAGGGTTGGTCGGCAGGAGGACTCCCCTGGTTCTGTGGCCACCTTCAAGGCCCTGGAGGCCCTGCGAGGTGCTGGAGCTGCATTCGTAAGGAAGAGGCCGGCGGCTCCTCATATCCTGTAGTATGTGTGCCATACAGTAAGTGCCTTTAAAATATTCTCTTAATTAAGGCACGTAAATAAGTGGAACTTTGTTTCCTGTTTGAATTCCAGCGGTGGTTTTCAGTGAGTCACAGTGAGCTATCTAGAGCTGCCTTTCAACATGTAGTGAGCAGTAAAGTCCTCCTAAGGCCYGAGTCCTCCTGGGGCTTCGTCCCACCCTCTCAGAGTGCCACCAGCTGGCAAGGTATTGTCCACGTCCACGCACATGGGCGCCAGGGACCGAGGTGCAGTCCGCTGTGTCAGGGCACCGCTGAGGGACGACTCCTCCTGTCATTCACAAAGGAAGACGCAGACCCTGCCTCCACTCTGCAAGTCGTTCTGAGTCAGCCGCAGGGAGGGAAGGCTGCCGCCCGCCAGTGAGCAGGTGGTCCCCCGTCAAACTGGGCGAAAGGTCAGCGCACCAGTCACTGTGCTCCTGAGTCCCCRAGGCTCATGAGAAGTGAGCGTCTTCAGGTGTGTCACGGAGGTGACCACGGGGAGCTTCATGGCCAGAGCAGCTCAGGGGCACTGGCGCGTCCTCACGTCTGAGAGCACAGGTCCTTAGCCTCTGTCCCTCTCTGCCCCACACCATGGGGCACAGTCGGTTCGATGCTTGTGTATTCCACASGAATCACAAAATTGCCGTGGAAGGGACTGGCAGGTCCATGCAGTTTCAAACACAGATGCTGCAGGAAGTGGAGGCTGACCCCGACAGCAGTCTGGATKCCTTTTCCCTGATCCCAGGGAAGTGCGTACAGAATTCCTCCTTTCTCTTTAGAATGCTGGGTTCTTTCTGTTGTAAAAGACAGTTTTCCTTCTCTTTCCCCTCCCCTCTCTCCCCCAGACGGCGCAGACGGTCCTGGTGGTGGTGGTGGTGTTTGGGATATCTTGGCTGCCCCACCACGTCGTCCATCTCTGGGCCGAGTTCGGGGTCTTCCCGCTGACCCAGGCCTCCTTCTTCTTCAGGATCGCCGCCCACTGCCTGGCCTACAGCAACTCCTCGGTGAACCCCATCATCTACGCGTTCCTCTCCGAGAACTTCAGGAAGGCCTACARGCAAGTGTTCAGGTGCCACGTCCACAACGAATCACCGCCCAGTGACAACAGAGAGACCAGAAGTCGAGTGGACACCCCTCCGTCCACCAACTGCACTCACGTGTGAGCCCAGGCCCCGCTCTCCCGGTGCGAGCCCACCAGGCCCTGGGCGGCCTCTGCGGTCCCCACCTTTCAGATGCGTGTTCAAGAGCGACTCTGACCCACTTAGGAACTCCCAGGTGCGAGCCCACCAGGCCCTGGGCGGCCTCTGCGGTCCCCACCTTTCAGATGCGTGTTCAAGAGCGACTCTGACCCACTTAGGAACTCCCAGGTGCGAGCCCACCAGGCCCTGGGTGGCCTCTGCGGTCCCCACCTTTCAGATGCGTGTTCAAGAGCGACTCTGACCCACTTAGGAACTCCCAGGTGCGAGCCCACCAGGCCCTGGGCGGCCTCTGCGGTCCCCACCTTTCAGATGCGTGTTCAAGAGCGACTCTGACCCACTTAGGAACTCCCAGGTTCAGTGAAGAGCACTCCTCAGTCTTATTCTCTCCCTAAATTGTGATTCAGAAACAGGACAAAAAGGCCGACCAGTTCTAGACCTCTTAAAGAGCTCAGCAGAGTTCTATAATGTGTTCAATTCTTCATGAAATAAGAACAGGCCCCATAAACATAGTGAAGAATATTTGCAATCTACATTTTAAAGTAGACATTTATTTAGAAAAAAAATCTTTGGTGTTTTAATCCTCGGTTTTAAGAGAAGGGATATTAGAAGCTGTGTGTTTAAAGTATGGTTGTGCACGTAGAGTGATGCCTGTCACCCTTCAGCCATTCACACACGTCTGCACTGTGGAAAGAGGCCCCCTGGAGTCTGTGGAGCGGGTGGCCTCTGCTCCCCTCGTCAGCCGCCGGCAGACCTTCTGCAGATAGGCTGCACCTGTCTGTGACCCCGAGGCCATCAAGTCCACCTCAAGAGGACAGTGTAGGCTGTGGCAGGAGCTCTGTCCCTGAACTTGGGCTCTTGTGGTTCACTGTGTGGACCAGAGGAAGGGGTTGCTGTGCCCTGCATGTGGGAGCTGCACAGGACGTCTCGCAGGCTGGCGCTGAGGTTTGGCGTGTACAGCTGGCGAAGCCCGGAGCTGGGCCTGCAGCGGAGCCACCATGAGGGCTTAGAGAGTCGGCGAGGACCATGTGGAGACAGTAGGTCACTGGGGAAAGGTTGGATCAGTAAGTCCSAGGAGCGGTGGTCTTGCCACGTGGACAAGGCATGCTCATTGTTTGATTAAATATCATTAGATGAAAACAAATCTCATGAAAGAAAATACCAGAAACATTCCGTCTTATATGAGAATAGGCTTTTTCATCAAATTTGTACCAATGTTTAATGTATTTTTCACCAAATATCATTCCCTCTGGTAATGTTGATTTGGAGTTAAGACCTTCACATTTGAGTTCTAAATGTGATTTTCACGAGAATTTCATGTTTATTCATGTTAACAATGAGAAAACGATGTGGACTATCAAATCGTGTGTACTAGGATAGTCATTTTCAGGTGCAAGACTAGTGTATTTTTGGACACTAAAACAGGGAGATTTCTTGTGAAAAGGATTTTGTGTAACATATACCTGTGTCAAATCAGAACTCCATGTGAAATGTAAAATTTTAGATTAAAATCCCAGGTTCAGCRTGAGCCTTTGGCACTCTAACTTTGCTAGTTCATAACTATACCCCGGTGCACAGGGTTTACCTTTGGAAAGGTGTAAGTGACCCTGGACAGAATAGGAGAAAATTGTTAGGATGATGAGAAATTATGAGGTTTCATGTTTATTCTAGGGAAGGAGGTGGGACAGGTGGAGGTKAAGGAGCTTTGTAAGTCCTGTGCATGGGCGGTGTTTGCACTTTATTGAAATATGGGAGCAGAAAATTAGTATCCTGGGGATGAGACCCCATGGGACTGGGGAGCGGGAAGCCGCCACTGCAGACCTGCAGACCGCAGGGCCAGCCTGTGCACGGGCCACGCTGTGGAGTCCTGCCTGTGCTCCTACCTGCTTGCCTGGGCTTCGYTTCAGGCTTCAGTTCACAGCACTTGAATGGGCCTGTTGAAAACACAGGGGTGATGCTGCTTTTCTTGGATCATGAGTGAGCCTGCTTCAGGGCCTATTTCCCCTGTTCCTGCATTGCCTTGGTCCTCCCCCGATGCTGCTGGTCCAGCACAGGCTCGAGTAATAATGCACTTGCACCCCCACCCACCCCGGTTTGCTTTACATATGAGCAAGCTGCGGAACATGAATGCAGACTGCGACACTTAATGTTTAGGTAGGATGTTCTTCCTCACATTGCCATTCTAGTCAGTCGCTCCTATTTTGAGTTTAGGTCGAGTCTTCTTCTAAAACAAATTTGAGTATGGGCAGTCGCTTCCTTCCTGCAGTGATCTAAACCTATGTGAAATGATCTGAATGGGTGGTTCTGGGCGCTCTGTGGCAGAGCTGATACCTGGAGAAGCGTAGGAGCCCTGTGCCTCTGCCRGGCGTTTGCAGGTGTTGTCCCTAATATTAATTACCATGCCTGGTGTGGAAATGCCTTCCCTTGTACGACTGAGCTGCTAGGCCTTTGTGCGTCTGGGAGAGGTGTGCATCTGGGAGAGGTGTACCTCTCCTTCGGACAGCCAGGCAGTGAGGAGGTGCTGCCTGTGCCTTTGAAGTCAGGCTGTGAGAACCACGCTTTCAGTGTACTTCAAAGAGAACCGAGGCTTTCTGCCCAGGTTTGGCTGCTTCAGGGCCCCAAACAGCTGCCACTTTTCTGTGATTTTTGCTTTTATATTGGGAAACAGATGGGTTCAGGAATATTTAAACAGATGAAATGCTTGCTCTTTTATGTGTGCAGATAATAACTCCGGTTTCCCACTGATGAACATGGTGATGTGGGTGGGAACACTCTCCTATTTTACCTTCCTAGGAGATATCCTGAAAGAGTCATTCTGGGTTATTCTGATCACGCATGAGCTCAGCAGCATGGCAGACTAAGGCCAGTTTCAGGATAGTTTAGGACAATCACTTTTGCTTGATCTACAGTGTTTTATTTTACACATGGGGAGTAAAGTCATCATTTCCTGTCCCCTCCCCAACCTCCTGTCTCTCATCTTTTTCTCTCTGCTAGCTTCTTGCAGCATTCATCACCCTAATGCTTACCCTGGTTGCATTCCTCCAACCCTGATGGCGTGAGTCAGCGGAGAGCAGAGGGGATGTCTGCATCCCATGGGTCACACAGGGTGCAGACTTCTTGTGACTCAGCTTTGAGTCCTGCTGCTGGTCCTCTCGGGTGCACGGAGACCTGCAGTGATAATTCTACTGCTCATAGAATCGGAGACTGGCAGCCTCTGGGCAGGGGAGGACAGCACACCTGAGCCTTGGCTCCCTTCCCCTGTGGCCACAGAGACCTCGCAGAGCTCAAGGGCTGGGGTTGGAGCAGCACTGCCCTGAGGAAATCCAGGTGCCGCCAGCTTCCTCATGCTCTGATTCAGTGACTTGCCACATCCATGCGTGTGACTCACGCAGCCAGGGAACTGGGTGAATGCACCCGTGTGGCTTCTTCTCGGGAAACTCACCGTCTGCCCAGTGTGAATTTCATTCGCCTGGGCTGCAAATATTTCCTATGTGTTAAAGCGGCTTGTCGGTGGCTGTTGGAGGGAATCAGATTCTTTTTGCCTGTGAAGATGCTGCACATTAGGTTTCTTCTCAATTAGATGCTAATGACCTGCCCATGACTTGCTTATTTTATGACTGCAGATAGAGTGAAATTCTTAAATTTTCATCCTAATYTGTTGGCATGGAAATAAAAATGATCATATGGCAATTATACCAGGTTTTAATTGACAGCGAATTTGGTGTTTTCTCCCTTGGAAGTGGAGAAGCTGAGCCTGAAGTACCATTTGCGATGCTCAGACACCTTTGCTACGGTGTGCCTGGGTAGGGGAGCGTATCTACTGTCTCTGATATTGGCGTTGTGATGCATTGGTCAGGGGCGTGGCTGGCTTGCTGGTGAGGGTGTCCTTTTCTTGGTGTGGCCAAGCTGGCCTGCCATCCTGGCGTTCTGAGGCCACCATATCTACTTCCTGAGCCAGCTGTAGAAATGCCAGCAGGCCCCGAGCAGATGCTTCTCTGCGGGACTCAGTGCTGCCCGTGCAGTGGCTGGTGAGCTCTCCTGTGCCCCGTCAGCTTTGTCAAGTGCCCTACACACTAGGRCTCTGTCCTGGTGCATCCGTAGAGGAAGGGCCAGGATGGTGGGTGGCAGTGCCGAGACAGGGAAGGTGGCGTGTGAGAAACCACTCCAGGTGGGTTTCCCATCCCTCTCTCAATACTGCTGCTCCTGCTGTGTTAGATCCCCGCTCAGAGCAGATCCCTTAGCGGGAGGTTGCAATGGCGCATCTGTGGGGAAAGCTTCCTCTTTCTTCTGGAGCGCGGATTTCTGGATATCACAAAGTACACTGCACCGCTCCAGATTTCTAACCGCTAGAGAAGTCAAAGGGAAGTAAAGATCACTGGCCGCCAGAGTATGTGGAACTGGGTTCAGTAAATGAACTCTGTAGCCGGATGGGGAATGGGGATCCTTGCAACTGCCTCTGGGCTGGGCTGAGTTCCGTGCCCTCAGGTTCATGGGACCCTGGACACTGAATCAGTTCAGCTGGTTGCATGTGGATTGGTGAAGGGCCCTTCGTCCTCACTACTCTGAAGGTCTTGTGGACCTGCCAGCACTTTAGTTCCCTTCAGCGGCTGGCTGGGGACAGCCACACCACCATGCCATGGGATGGTGTCCTGTGGTGTCCAGGACCTGGGGGGGTCCAGTGCCACTCTTCCAGATGGCAGGCACCCCAGGGCGTGGGGCTGGCCCTCCAGGCGCTCGCCAGGGTCGGGGGAGGCCTTGCAGGGCAGGTTTGTCTGTGGGGCCCACCTGCTGCTGTGTCCCGTGGAGGAAGAGGGTCTCTGGGGACTGGGATCAGTGCCTGTCCTGGGACAAGGATGACACTTCAGGCCTTCTGGATGTCACAGGCTGATCCAGGCACCTAAATTGTTCATGAAATCACAGGGCATAATTTCAGATAGGCTCACGGGGGCTCAGAGTCTTCTATGGAC